TGTTTCTTTTTCTTTTTTTTTTTTTTTTTTTTTACTTTCTCGTCGCTCGCCGAGGAAATACAGATCGTCCGCGGATGGTGCTTTATTTTTTTTTGTGCCCGACACGCGAGCCAGGGATCGGGCACACATTCGGCCTATGTTATTGCTCGCTTTGTGTCGAGTGGTACTTTCCGAATGATGCAGCGTAACGTACTTGCGATGAAATAACGGGTCGCTGATTAATTAGATCGAGTGTCTGGTTTGTGCATGCCAATCCACTCAACGGATATTCTCTTGAATCACAACCCCTACAAAAGCTAGACGCGAGTCCCTTGCTTTCACCGACGTGGTCCCCGTCAAAGCTTATTTCGCCCTCGGATAATCGTGTGTCAGTTTGGAAAATAAAATTGCCGTTCCCTCTGGTGGGTCACGTCCCCGTCGCCGGTAATGCGAATCGAATCCACCGTGGATTAGTTTCGTAAGCTAATAACCAACACAAAATTGTCCGAAGTTGTTCCCAGTTTGCCGATTCAGCGACGCTATCGTTTGAACGACGTTGCAGCGTTTCGTATCTTCGACATTTCAACTTTTTACTAACTTTACTAACCTTTATTTCTTTTATTTTTTCTTTTTTTTTTTTGTTTAATCCGACAATTAGTCCGATATGGAATATCGAAGGAACAGTTTTATTGGTTTGCGTAGATTCACTTTTATATCACAAGATTCTCGCAGATTTTCGAGGTTTTATGATTGGCGTAAAGTGTAAATATTAAAATCTTTGACACTCGCGCGAGATAGTTACCGATTTATTTCTACGTTTATTCAGCTATGAACTCTGAATGAATACGTGGTGTTTTACTTCGAGAGTAAAAAGAAAAAAAAAAGATTCTTCCTTCAAAATTACTCTTCATCGCTTGTATCAAAGGAATACTGTTGAAAGTGCAATTTATTATCAACGATGATCTGTTTCTAAATTAACCGAAGCACCAAGCCCAGAGCTAAACAGAATCCATGATTTATTAATTTACTAATATTCATACTATTCATAATATCAAGGAGTCACTCGTATTATTCAAGAAATTCGCACATCCTTCCAAACAACCATACTAACAACCCCATCATCAAACTACGGAGTTTTACGTATCGACAAAATATTTTTAAAAATAAAAGAGTAATGCTTCCCATTAAAATTTTATTCGCCAAAAATATGAATCTGCGATTGAAAACTAAATAGCCTGTCAAAATCGAGATTAATGGAAAGATCCCTGTTGAAAATTCTCTTTTCTTTCACGAGGAGAAAAAAAAAAACACTTTTTCTTTTTAATCACAAACAATTAGCGAGCGAGGTATGATGCATCCTCGAACAGAGACACGCCTCGATTATGTCTGATTCTTTTATCGCGGGGGTAAACAAACGAGGTCGTTCGACCACGCTCGGTTGTCGATCGACGACTATTTGTCAGTTAGCAATCGCGTTACTAAGCTTTGTCCATTTCTGGTAAACAAATCGACACTTTTATGTCCATCCGACATGCACTCGACTGGCGGCACCTTCAATATCGATTTTTGTTAACCGTTGGCATAGCCTCCGATGTCAGTATCCTTCGCAACTGTATAGAACACGTGCTAGTATCCTCTGTGTAAATTGAATTGGCCGCTTAAGGCTATCGAAGGATAAATCCCGCAATATCGTTTGGTCACTCTATCACTGCACCCTCTGTTTTTCCTCTCCGTGGCTCTCCTCGGCCCTATTGTTTGCTCTAAAGCCACAAGACACAACTTTACAGACATACGCTTCGTATCGTTTCAAATGTATCGTGCAACGTTTGAAATGAAAACTGTGTGTTAGCGAAATGCGAATATCTCTTCATTTACGGAATGACGGTGTAATTGAACGAAAATTTGGGAAATACAACGAAACCGTCCGCTTAGGAAATACGAGATAAGGAATAAATTGCAAGTATAAAACAACATTTAGCGTATTAGATTGATTGCGAAGTTTTACCACTGCACTTTGCCTGCGATGTTTGAAATTTTATTGTGAAACCAATTCACCAATTTCAAATGGGTCCGTCAGAACGTAGAAAGGCAAAGTTCAAATTATCGAACAGTCATGTTGAAGACTAATTAATAAAAGTTCCAGTTAAAGCAGTCAAACGATAAATCATGTAATATAACATTAACGTGTTTACAAAAATTCGATTTTAAATTAAGAAATTATGTCAAATTTCTAGGATTTTGTTCGACGTTTGTGCGTTAATATCTTTCAAAACGCAAACACGTGGCAGGGAGGGGAAAAAAGCATCGGACTATATTTCTATAGGGAAAAATTCTTCGGAATTTCCGTGCATGTAAGTTTTAAAAGTCTCTCCAAGGACAGTTCAGGTTCAGCGTGATCGCGACGCTCGTTTTTCCAAGTCGAGACGGAACCATTTCTGTGTGAAATCGTGACTGAATAGGAACCGCCGTGTCAGATTTACAAGCCCACCATCTCATTTGCTTTCGACAGGCAGCCGGTTGCGAAAAAGACGCACAAAAGTCGATAGAACCCGTTTCAGAGGAGCTAGACGTTTAGAAGAACGCCTCTATAAAAAGCCCACGGTTGAATGCCATTTTGAACTTACACCTTGTTCATCAAACCCTTTTCCCTGCGAGCAAAACGCCCGGCCTTTTGCTAAACCTCCAGTTTGTTTCTGAATACGCGCACATTCCCGAAAATCCTGCCCCGGCATTCAGCGTACCATCTTGTATGAATTATAAATTCGTACGCGGTTTATAGGTTCGTTTAGGTTGGAGTATCGATTCTCTCTATTTGGACTTGACATAAATGTCACAGATTTCATGCATGAGTCTGACGTTGTGACAAAAAGTGTTCTTGCATGATGGATCTCCACCATCTTCTTCAGAATGAACGATTTCGAATTTTTGGCCCGTTTTTAAAATAGGAAACCATTAATATTAAGATTAATGTGACAGAAGGAACATTGGATTAGACTGTAACATCGGACGAAGATCAATTTTTAATTGGAACGTGATTTATAGATGCGTGATTAAATAAAGAAAATTTTCTTCCCTTTGCGTCTGATTTTCGAGGATATCTTTGGAGGAATATATTAATATAATATTTTATACATGTCTCGTACTATAGCTTGAACTTACTTTTAGCAACAATAAAAATTATGTGATTTTTTTCTGTGTCAGAAATATTTATAAACTGATACCATTTTGCAATGAGTGATTTAGTGCGTTCTTCGTTGGAACTTCAAAGATGACTTGTAAATATCTTTTCAAAACTTTTTACGATTTTAAAAAAAAATATAAAGTAGCACGATTGTATAAAAAATTTTCATCGAGCAAAGAGACACTATTATTTCGTGCAAGTGAATCTTACAAATTCTTTTTTCTAATTTTTAAATGCCTAAAATGCTGTTTCGTCGAAAATATTAAACGAAATAAATCATTTCGGACAGTTTGAAAGATTTAAAATGATTTAAAAATACTTCAAACGCCTCGAGAATTGAAGTATTTTTGAATTTTGAAAAGTCACAGTATATACCAATTCAAGTAGTTCGCGTAGTTCAGCTTCTTAACTATAATTACACGCCGTTAATTACATTCCATAGTCAATTATTTGAATCACGAAAGGCGATGCATAAACGTTTTGTTGAAATACTCCAGCGTTAATCATACCTTTATATTTAAACCGTTCTGTCAGATTTCATTCTTCAAAAGGACGTTTTTTACACTTGTTTTTACGCGCTATCTTCCTCAGGTATATTATCCGATATACCTTTATGCCTATTATATTCTTTCCCTTTGAACCAGTTCCGTACGAAGCTCCTTTTCATTTATACCACATTTACATTTTCTCAAGGATTTCCTTTGAAAAATGAACAATAGAAGGATTTCTTCATTTTCATAATCTTGTACCTACCGGATGATTTATAATTCGTGTATGTTTAAATAGTACGTCACGGCAACGTTCTTTGATAAAATTATATAGGATGCGAAGGAGCTAATTGTTCCATCGTAATTAATATTCAAGTTTTAATCTATCACGTAAATCGATGTAAACTTATCCCTAGATTGCTTAACCAATATCGTGTATTTATTTTTGAATTACGTACGCGTTATTCAGGTTTGTGTCTTTCACCAAGTACGAAAAATCAAATTTTTGAAAATGTGAGATTAGGCAAAATAACACGTATCTTATAGACCCTCTTAAAGCTTTGTGTTCCTGCGTTTAATAATTAGCACATACAAATTTGATATTTTACTTAATCTGCAATTTGTGAAATATTTTATCGTATTTATGAAATTATACTTCCGATTTTAATTAAAAGTTTCGTTTTCGCATTCAATTCGTTTAATATGTGAAATAATGTAGTTAATTCGTGCAAACCAATGAAATTTGAAACGCTGAATTATTTATCAGTTTATTTGAAAGCGTCAATTAAAATCGGAACTTATTCTTCCAAAGTCATTTCCAAAATAAAAATAATTAATTGATCATCCCAATTTTTGTTTCAAACAAAATGTGTCTACATCCGCAACAGGCATTTTCAATTTACAAAATTCGCTCCTCCAAAGCTGTCTAAACAAAACTCAAAAAATATTCGCCACCTCAAACTCAAAGTATTCGTAATGATACTTCATAAGATCAAAATATATTCGTTAATATTCAAACTATGTATTTTATTATTTTATCATTTTTAATAACTTCGTCCCGTAGAAAACATCTGTGGAACAATTTCAATATCATCACCATAAACTCAGTACAATCAGTTCGAATTTAATATATATTCAGAATGGAATATTTCTTAATAAGGAGCATCGTTTACTTTTTCATTTCATCCGAATACCCAATTCTCTCTCTCTCTCTCTCCCTCTCTTTATCCTTCTGCTTGTAATGAAAAATCCAGGATTTATTATTGGCTCAGTGTCCAGCCGCATTTGCGTGTACACTCGAAGGTCGGAAATCGATATATGCAAAATATTTTGATGCTAACAGATTGAGAGGCGACGTTGCGTTCGATGGAAGATTTATAGAGCCGTTTCGAGCTATAGGTCAACTTTATTGAACTCTGTCCACTCTTCTCTGCACGACTTCCCTGCTCCGGGATTTAGAGCAAATATCGCATGGTATTACCAACGAATAAAATCACGAAGAAGAAAAAAGGAGAAAGGAAAAGAACGAGCGACCGTTCCCATGTTCCCATTAAATATTCACTGTCAAAGTCAAGCTCTGTTCCCGCGATTGGCCATCTCTTCTGGAATGCCATATTACTGTCGGTAAACATCTCCTGTCAGCCTCTCTCCCCGGAAAGAAGAAGAGACGAAAAAAATCCTTTCAATTCTGTGAATATGCCTATACACGTTGAGCAAGTTCCATTTGTTTGTGCCAGACGCATACACGACGAAACAAAAAATTCGATTGTTGCGTAATATAAATATTTGAAGAAACGATCGATCGTGTTTTTAAATTTCTGAAAAAAAAAAGAAAAAAGTAATAATCGACTTCGTGTTATAACATCATAATCAATATCTGATTGAAATCTGTGTCCGTGAAGACTAGGCAAAATTTGAATCACGTTTGTACAACATTCGTTAGAATGGCATGACAATATGGTAGGATTTATTTATATATTGATCGTACTGTTTCCTTGGCGTGTATGTGTGAAAAAATTTGGCAAAAAATTTGACAAAAGTTGCTTCCTCTTTTTATTCATGCGAGACTGCATAAAATAGTAAACCGATAAGATAGTAAAAAATGGTGTAGATAGTCAAACGATCAATACACTGCTTTTGGAGATTATTTCTACGTTATTTGTTTAGAACATCAAGCATGCATTCAGAACGGTTTTGTCACTAGATATAGTCTTGCAATGAGACGAAGAGATCTACCCAATTGTACTGATGTCGTGTCAAAGCCAATTGAAAAATGGATCGCGATCGCTTGATTCGTAATCGCTTGCCAGCTTTATGAAGCAACGTGAGCATTTACAGAGAAATAAATTAATAGCAATTAAACGTGCATGTGACGGTATCGATGCGAGAAAATATTTTCTGAAGAAATGAACCGATCAATTTTAAAAAGTTCCAAAAAATTTTCTTCCTTCTTCCTAATTTATTCAAGTTGTATCTTGAACATTCCCCGTTTCATTAGAAACAAAAGAGATAATTAAATATGTTTTTATTGGAGTAAATTACAGAGCGTCTATTAATTATTTGTACAAAGGAATGACAAGTATTTTTCTGAAATATCTAGGACACCGAAATGTATAAAACTTGTGGCAAAGAAATGAACGGAATGTGAAAAAATTTGCAGCACAGTAGAAAACACAATTAGTTTTTACAAAAGATCGTTCAGATCTCTCGAAACGTACCGTTCGTGAAAAATGAAAAATTCTGCGAAATACTCTGACAGCTACTTTGCAAAAAATCAATGAACTTACGCTGTCTTTTTCACTCATCCTCTAACTTTTCAGTGACTTGAATTCATTTTATCCAGTTTACGAATAAAAATAATGAAGGGAACACGGAAAGAAATATGAATCAATTAAACGTCGCGATAGAAAATATAGAGAAGAAAATATGGAAGACAATTTAGCGAGAATCTTTATGTTTACAGAGTAACGTGCCAATTATACCCCTGATCGTTGCGTCAATCTACGTTACTTTATCTAGCCGTTCCGCAACGATCTCTCGTGTTCTTAACTTCCTCCCTCATTACTTGAGAAAATACACAAGATCTAAGACACACTTTTCACGGAGACAAACGAACTTAGATTTCAACTTCGACAAAACGTCCGATCGATTCTCCGGTTACGGGGTGAAAAGGCAACCGCATTTTTCCATTTTCATTCGTATTTAACGTCAACTCTGGTTCAAGCTCTTTGCTTCAAAAAGAACAGGATAAAAATGCAATGATCCCCGGTTTCTTTCGTTGCTTTCGTTTGCTTCCCTTTGGCGAAGAAAAAAATGGCAAACTGGAATATGAAATGCGAGATATATTGAAATGTTGAAAAAGACAATAAAGGAAGCAATTGAAATATTCTCTCGGTTAAGTGCGTCTACGTTACAATCTGTAACACGCTAAAGGTATCGTTCATTCCGGAATGAAATTTTTTTTTCATGGCAACGATAAACGTTTGCCATGCCGTATTTACATTTACGTTTTTAAAACAACGATCTCACATAATCCGATACAATTTCTCCAATTTTCGTCCATCAATACTTCCTGTCTGAAAATATTTTTACATGTGAACGTCGATGTTATTGCAGGAAAATTGAGGCACAATTCGGGAAATGATATTTTCGAGGGAAATCAAGATATGCTGAAAGAAAGAGGTAAATATACTATTACGTACAGTCGCAAAATTTTCGCAAAAACGTGCACGTGTACCATGAATAACATATATTCCATGAATAATTCACGGTTCATAATAACCATATTATTAACGTAGAATTGGCATATTAGATGAGATATGATAATGAGATTTACACTATGATTTGCAATTACAATTAACACGTAATAAAAATGAACGTTTTTCAAATAATCTTTAAGCTAAAATTTACTACTAAAATTATATTTAATTCTATTTGCAATAATTTAATATTAAGTTATTAAATATTATTAAATTATTTAATTTCGTACGCAATCTTCTTGTTGGTTTTAATTAAGGAAATAATACTTTGCAGCTGAATGATTTTGAAAAACTTCTTCGAACGACCCTGTTCGAAAACAAAAACGATATCGTACGCATGCGTATCAATTTTATTACATGTCTCGTAAAAAGCTTCACTATTGTTACTTCATTTATTAAATCTGCTCCTCCATTTTCCCCTCATTTTCTCCCCCCTCCCCCCCATTTCTCTGCTCCCTCGTCGGGGATACATAATACATAAACCGTCGCCGAAATGAATTTAAAATATATGGATAAATTACACGAAGCATCCTCATCACGCGAGATATTTCCATCGTGTTTCTGCACACACACCTAAATACATTCCTCGCCCGACGAAATTTCATTCGTACACGCCGTAAGAGTATCGTAATTTCCTCTTACAGATCTGAAGTTACGAGGCTTCAAAGAAACCAGCGGAAACGAAGAGGACGATTACGAAGATTCCGGCGCGGCGTCGAACGAAAACTCTTTCAGCTTGATTTTCGCTTTGGCCACGTTCACCATTTACCTTCACCATCATCCCCAGTTAAGAACGCTGCATCCGGCTTGAGGAACGACCCCCGCTGTGCCAGCACATCATCATCGGATCCTCCTTTCGATCGCCATCCATCGAAAATTTGTAAATCCACTTCGACATCCATCGCTCAGGGACTCCATGCCGAGGATAAATTTAAATCACGAAACCGCGCTGACCACTCACGACACACTTGTATTATAAGACGACATATTATTACTATGATTATCATCAATCATTCACGATTGTGTAACGACGTTAGCTATCGTAAGTTATTCGATAAAACTGTAATTGCGTTTAGATATAAGAGACGGGGATGAACGAGGGAATTGTTCTCATCGCACGTATGAATTACGTCACGTAGCGAGCAATAAGTAACGGAACACGCGAAGATTTTGTGCTGGAATTGAATTTGCAGGCGTGTGGTGTAACGAGCCTGGATCATGCTCGATGGAACACTTCGAACCGTAGTCAGTATCGACTATTTATTTCCTAGCTTTCGTGTAATTCGTTAAACCGGTAGTGGTAAAATCGTGTTTGCTGCGTTCTACTTTTTCGTGCCCTGTGTAATTTTCGTGTATCGTTCGGGTGTGAGCTTAGAAACGTGCGTAGTCGTTCGTTTGCCATGTTTCACGCGTTAGACTAGAGATAATATATTATCGTTTAATTTATCGATCGCAAATATATTAATATATATATTTATTATATATAATAAGCTGCAAGCGTTAATATGTGTATTCGGTATTAATTTATTCATTGATTAATTTTATACGAAGCACTCCGACATCGATCCTCGAAATTTTCTTGTTTCTCGCTCAGTCGCGTTTTTATTTCTCGCGGTGCAGACAGGTTATAATTAAGAATGATCCGACAAAGGAAAACGAAGATAATAATAAAAATAAAGTAAGGAACATATATAAAATCTTGTAGATTTTCTCGCGGAGCGTACGTAAAAGCGTTCGCAGGGAAGGCGCTTGTGTCTAAAATTTGTAGATTATTCGAGTTATTACGATTCCTTCGAAAAAAAAAAAAAAAAAAAAGAAAGG